GTTCATCTACAGCAGGAGTCCACAAGCTGTGGTCTATGGGCCAAATTCAGCAGACTGTTCTGTAAATAATAATGTATGGGAGCAAAGCCACACCCATCTGTTTATGGATTGTCTGTGGCTGCTTTTCTGCCACACATAGTTTGTACAAAAGCAGAGTTGAGTGACTGTGACAGAGACTATATATGGCCTGAAATCTAAAATGTTTACTTTCTTTACACAAGAAATTTGCCAGCCTCATATCTAGAGCAGCGTCCTCAAATTTTAGCTACATCAGAATCATCTGGAGGGTTTGTTAAGACACAGATTGCTTGGCCCACTGCAGCCTTTCTGACTCTGTAGGCCTTGGGTGGGGCCTGGAAAATCTACATTTTCAGTAAGTTTCCAGATAATTACTTCTGTTTGGTTCAGGGACTCTGCTTCAAGAACCACACTGTTCTAAAGGAGCTAGGTGATTTTTTAAAAGATCATTATGTAAGCATCATGTTTATATAGAATAAAATTTAAATGTTTAGAGATACAAACCTGGAAGCTTCCATGCTCACTTAGGTTTAAATGCATACAAAAGCAACCTCCAGTAAATTGTGTGACAAGAAATGATTAAAGTGTAATTTTTTAAAAAGCTTTTTAATTGAACAAGAGCATGGACAAGTTAAACTGAAGAAAATGTCGTGTGTTGTGTTAATAATAAGCGCTCACAGATACAGACATAAACGTTAACTGTTCCCAAGAGCCCTGCCACCCCCTGGCGTACATCATCCCAGTGGCTGGTGGGCGCTACCTGCTCTCATCCCACTATGTATCAGGGATAGATTATTGCATCCCAGCATTAACGATGCAAGAAGTTATTTTAAAGTCCTTTCTTTTTAATTTTGTCCTCTGTTATTTTCACCTTTTTTTGTTTCATTTTTTTAAAAAACCTTCGTGTAAAACACTTGCTTTCTGGGCAACACAATTTGGGAAGCTTTATTTATTAATAGAACCTACTTCTCTTGACCCCTTTCACAGATGATAAAACTGACACCCAAGATTCTCATAGGTTTTAGATCCAAGACCCCCTGACCAAGTCCCCCCTTCCTTCCCCTCTGCCATCTCAGCTCCTGTTTGCTTTGCCTCAGGTGGTGAGGGGGAAAAAAAAAAACCCAATGAGCCCAAACTTAAATCAAGCATGAAGAAAGAAAGCACTGCTAATACCAATGACCATCTTTTTTCCTAAAAGCCTGAAACAAAGGAAATTCTCTGCTTCCAGGAATAGCCTTAATCAGTCACATATGTGAGCATAGACCCAGTGACTGTTCAGACAATTTTCCACCAACCTAGCAGGATTTTCCTGGCACATTGATTTCTTTTTTTTCTTTTTCCTAGTATCAGTATTAGTAGTTTTTTTGTTTTTCATTGTTTTTTTCTAGAAGATCCTAGGCATAATAAAAGACCTTTCAACCAAAGAGACAGGGTGCTAAAAATCTGCAGTGTTTGAAAGCAAAGAGAAATGGAGGATTGTTAAAAATAGAAATAGTCCCCGGTTGGTAAAAACAAACAAACAGCTTTAAAAATCTAAGAACTGCGCCCTGCATGGGTGGGTTTGCTAACTGTCAGCTTCACCAGTTAATGATGTAGTTTGTCTAATGGAGATAGAAAAGACCATTTGTAACAATGCTGGGCTTTGTGTGTGGGTGTGATTTAAAAATCAAATTGAGTGGAAATGCAGCAAATACTAAATGGCATTGTTCATTTTCTAATTAATTTACTACAAACTACAAAATAAAGTCTTCAGTGTATTAGATGGTCTGTAATTTTTAGAAGAGGAAGCACTGAAAACTTTCACCTCTCATAGTCCATTGAGTTTCTTTTCATCAGAGGGACAAGCTGAGTTTTGTGTTTGAAAAGGATATCGACATTTTGGGGGACATCAGTGTTGGAGTTTAGTGTGTGGCATAAGTCAGCCAGGGATATCATCTCCTTTGCAAGGCTCAGGGGAGCCCAGGGGGAACCTGGGACCCCTTGGTCTCCCTGTGGCTGATGTTCATGTTTAATGGTAACAGTCCAGGGATCAAGGCCCCAGAGAGAAGGTCACCTGAGTGAGGAGAGCCGCTCCCATCACTGCTGCACTGGACTTTTTGTTCTGTAGGGGCGATTGGAACAGTGCAGGCACTCAGTAGACGTAAGCACACAGAATGGCCGGGAAGAGAGAGCAGAGGTCGAGCCAGCAGATCTGAGGGCAGAATCTCTGTTAGCCACGGGCTGGTTCTGTGACCTTAGGGGGAAGTCCTCTGAACTCGCTGAGACTTCGTTTTCTTATCTGGAAAGTATGGGTCGTAACAACTGCCTCCTAGGGCTGCACTATGGGCTAGAACTTACAGCTCATAAGTGGAGCGCCTGACGTGTGGTCAACAAATAAATGGGCTTTATTATAGATCAAAACATTTCAGGGTGTGCAGACACCAACCTGGGAAGTCAGTAAGTAAGCCTTATGAGTCTTTGTTCTCAGCTTTCCTCACATTTCACCTTCACTCCTTTACTTCCATGACTGAAATTTCAGTCGTCATGTTCTTTGTTCAGGACTTACGTTGTTACTGGACCTAAGTTCATGTGTCTGATGCAGAGTGAGGCCAAACAAACTTGAAGTTTGAGGCCGAGAAAGGTTTATTGCAGGACTGAGCAAGGGAAAGAGGTGGCTCATGCCCCAAACACCCTGAACTCCTCAAAGAATTTCAGCAAAGCCTTTTTAAAGGCCAGGAGAGGGAGGGATGCCTCGGGGTATGTGCTCAGCTCAACCACAGTTCCCTGATTGACTGAGGGTGGTCAGTCCTTAGGGGTCAGTAGGTCTGGGGGCTACATGCTCACGATCATCAGGGAGTTCATTGCTTCCGTTTGGTGGTGGTTTTAGCGTCTAGGCTTCCCTGATAGCTGATAGCTCAGATATCAGTGCTTCCCTGATGGCTCAGCTGGTAAAGAACCTGTCCGCAATGCGGGAGCCCTGGGTTCAATCCCTGGGTCGGGAAGATCTGGAGGAGGGAAAGGCTACCCACTCCAGTATTCTGGCCTGGAGAATTCCATGGACTGTATAGTCCATGGGGCTGCAAAGAGTCGGGCATGACTTGAGCGACTTTGACTTCACTTTAGTATCTGAAAAACTCAGGAAATATGCATGAGATACTATTATCCAGGTACCTTAGCAGGGGATATGGGGGAGAGGTCTGTCCTGGGAAGGCCCATAGGGTCCTGGGTAACACTGTGATATGGTCTCCTCTCTGCCCTAACCTCAAAGCCACAGTTCATTTCGGCAAGCTTATTCTCAGAAACATATTATTTGATGGTGACACAGACAAAAAAGGCAAACATTGCCAAAAGTTTATCCTTTACCTGGTATTTACACTGCACCAGGAACTGGTATTCTTTTGATATTACCTCATTACTTCATTTCATCCTCACAACACCCCTCTGAAATCAATTCTGCTATTACCCCCATTTTACAATAAAAGCTGACCTACTGATGGGCAAGACAGTTGTCCAAGGGGACAGAGCCATGACTGGCGCCTTGGCGGTCTGGCTCTGCGTCATGCTCGTCGCCACCACTCTGTGCTGGCCTCGAGAGCCTATTCTTGTTTCATGCCAGACGGTTGAACTTCAGGGCTTGCCATTCACAGGGCACTGGAGTTTGGGAATTTTAGCGACTATTGGTCATCAGGGCCCAAGTGAGCCTATGAAGTCCACTGTCAGCCTACCCTAGAGTCTATTTCACTACCAAGGAATTCTGAGTGCTGTGTATCCCTGGAGTGTCCTTCATGGGGAACAGGGCAACTGAATGTCCTTAACAACATGACCTCAGTTAGGAGCTGTTGAAATTAGAAACTTTGTGAGAACTAGAGGACAGTAGCACTGGCCCACTCTGTGTGCCTCTAGTGCCTACACTGGCAACTGGAACATAATGGCAAGTGAGGATTGGGCGGATGGATGGATGATTGAGCGCAGACAAATGCATCTGATGGTTGTGTGTACCAACGGACAGATGGCACTCCTACAGGAAAGTTTACAGGGAGGAACTGATACTGAACTCGTTCACGGATCTGTAATGGTGGTGGCTCCTCCTTACTTTCGCTAGGTTATAATTTTCCCTCACAATGATACTTATCTTGCTGAGTAGGTCATTCCAAACAGCTGCGTAAAATCCAAAGTTGGAAGTCTGACATCTTGAAAGCACAGAGATTAGGACATTAAACAATAAATTTATCTAAAAGAAGTAAGAAACAAAATTCATTCAGTCAGTCAGTCAACAAATACTCATTGAGAGTCTATTTCCTGTTAGGGAACTCTTATAGGAGCTTAAAGCATAGCTGTTAACAAAACAGAGAAAAACTCTGCCCTCCTAGTGCATGCATTCTCATGGGGGAGACAGAAATAAACACTCCCCCATGTAATGCATGGAGCTGTGTAAGTACCCTGGAGGAAAGTGATGTGGTGGGGTGGGGGTGGGGAGGAATGTGGAGAAAGATAGGGTTGGGTGAGGGGGGTTATTTAATATCAGACAGTCAGGGTTAGTTTGAAATTGTGTAGAAGTTTTATTCTACATTAGAATTGGAGAATTTAAGAAAATTAAGGTAGTGAGGATAGGGGAACAATTGGGAATTAGGAGTCCCAGATTAATAGAAGAGATTTTTCATGTAATAACAATAAAGAAGCAAATACTTTTGACCTGTGTGATATATGTATATACATATCTTTTCTTATAGGATTAGCAGCTCTGGACTTTTAAAGTGATAGCATTTCCCAGCCTTCAGCTGAGCTGAACAAAAAGCATCCTTCCTATCATCAGCGCAGCAAAATGAGAGGCAGAGAAACCCTGCTGGAAGGAAGCAAGGTCATCCACTGAAGCTTCTTGACTTTGGCCCAAAACACAGCTCAGATTCCACTCTCACTCTGAGCTGACCTAGCCCACTTTGATGCCAGGCCTGGAGTGATGCGTCCCTGCCCCCCACCGCCTCCCACCCCGTGAAGGCCTGAACATGAGCACCAGCAGCCCCGCATGCCACGTCGCGGCGGCCGGACACATGACTCACTATCCTGCCGCGCCCTACCCGCTGCTCTTCCCGCCCGTCATCGGCGGGCTTTCCCTGCCCCCGCTCCACGGCCTGCACGGCCCGCCGCCTCCGAGTGGGTGCAGCACCCCTTCACCTGCAAGTAAGTACCGCTGGAATCTTCTCTCTTTTCTCCTGGTTGACTGAAAGCAGGGTGGTTCATATCCACAGTGCGTTCTCGTTGCGTTGGGTGCTGGTTCCTCTGGATCTAGAACTGTACCTTTGGTTCTATCAGCAGAAAGGTAACTTGAAACCAGATAAATGATGAATCTTAGAATTTGGTCCGTTCAAAACCACATTGGTATTTTGTTCTGTTGGATAAATTGTAAACAGAAATATTGATCAAAGATGTGATCAGTACACCTGAAGAAAGTGGTCACTTGATAAACGACATGAGCAATGAATTAGGAAATGATGCCATAAAAATCACTGATGATAATCCTGATTTTAACATCAATTTGGGTCGAGGTCTTCTTTTGAATCTCTTACTCATTTCCTAGGTGCAGATAAAACCTGTCATTGTTTTCACCTTCCCAGGGATCTTTACTACTAGTTCATGCCACATAAGCTTTTTAAATGTCCTTGATCACTTTTGGGTTTTTGAGCCACTTCTTATGTGCACTTCTAAAATGTTGGGTATACAGTATTTTAAGATAAAAATAGTTCAATTTAGAAATCTTAAAACTGATGTGACTCATTCATAGAAAGCGCCCATAGTATGAGATTTAAAGAAAATAGTTCTGCCTGTTTGCAGGCAGGCTGTGGTAGCCAGCGAGCTCTTCTGCCTTTTGGAAGCGGGTTCAGCCGCGCTGCATCAGGCATCTGCAGCATCTTCCCTACGTTCTTTCAGGTTCCTAATTCAGCAGGAACTCTTCAGAGTTCTGCCTGCTGATTATTTCATATTTTGCTGCTTTTCGAGGTATTGTTTCAAATATTAGTTTGTTCTTAGAAGTTTCTCCTTTAAATTACTCCCTTCATTTTTCTTCGTGTGTGTGTGTGATACAATTAATTTTTATATTACATTTCCGATAGCTGCAAGTTTTATTTTACTTATTTTAATATTTATTTTTATTTATTTATTTGTCAGCTATATTGTGGTCTTTACTCCTTAATTTCTCCCTCCTTAGCTAGCTGGGGGCAGGAAACTTGCTCCACCTCACTGGGAACCCTCGGCTCTTAGTATAGTGCCTTCAAAATTCATAGGAGACGGATTTCTGGATGCCTGCGTATTTGGATAGATGGATGGATGGATGCTTGAATGGATGGGTGGATGGATGAATGGATGGACAGATGGATGAACAGATGAACAGATTCTCACTGCAGGAATGTTGGCTGCAATCACTCTACTATCATGCCTGATATTTACTGATCTATTTTCCTTCTTGGAATGACCTGATTGTAATTCTCTTCTGTGTTTTGGATTTCTGGCCTAAGCATGTGACCAATAAAGTCTTTTAAATTGCTTAATAGCATTTTCCCATGCTTCTCAAGTTGAAATTGAAAGTAGATGTAGGCAGAATACTTTCTTGGCTATCAAGAGAGATGGGGAAAAAAAGGTGTATTTGAACTATCTAGCTGACCCAGGTGCCAGTTCAAGCCCTGTTCGACCAACATGCAAATGGCATAATGCGGTTACTTTCAGTGAACACATGAAGGGGCCTGACTAAATGATTGTTAAAGCTATTAAAATTCCCCTCAGGAGCTAATCGTGCAGCACAGCCAGCCTGATGGACAGCACATTCTAACACATTCCTTTCCTCAGATCAGAAGTATTTTTTGTAGATGTAGCCAAGGAGTTAGGACTCCTTGGAGTTACGAGTTTTAGTGCCATCCTGGGCGATCTAATCTTGCAGGTGGAAAACCCAACTCGTAGGTGGCTGCAGCCCCAATACACCCACCAGCACGTGCCAGCAATGTTGACCTTCTTTGGCTGCTGATTGTAAGGAGGATGCAGAGCAGAGTAAATGGAAGGACAGTGAGATCTTTATGTTGGATGAGCATCCCCAAACGCTCGAACAGGCTATCAACATACAAATCCCTCACCCATCTGTTCACATATATTTTTAGAATTCTACAGAGCAGCCCTTGGCACACTACAGCCTGCAGGGCAAAGCCAGTCCGCCACCTGCTTTTTTTTTTTTTTTTCATTTATTTTTATTAGTTGGAGGCTAATTACTTTACATCATTGCAATGGTTTTTGTCATACATTGAGATGAATTAGCCATGGATTTACATGTATTCCCCATCCCGGTCCCCCCTCCCACCTCCCTCTCCACCCGATCCCTCTGGGTCTTCCCAGTGCACCAGGCCCGAGCACTTGTCTCATGCACCCAACCTGGGCTGGTGATCTGTTTCACCCTAGATAATATACATGTTTCGATGCTGTTCTCTTGAAACATCCCACCCTCGCCTTCTCCCAGAGTCCACAAGTCTGTTCTATACATCTGAGTCTCTTTTTCTGTTTTGCATATAGGGTTATCATTACCATCTTTCTAAATTCCATATATATGTGTTAGTATACTGTAATGGTCTTTATCTTTCTGGCTTACTTCGCTCTGTATAATGGGCTCCAGTTTCATCCATCTCATTAGAACTGATTCAAATGAATTCTTTTTAATGGCTGAGTAATATTCCATGGTGTATATGTACCACAGCTTCCTCATCCATTCATCTGCTGATGGGCATCTAGGTTGCTTCCATGTCCTGGCTATTATAAACAGTGCTGCGATGAACATTGGGGTGCACATGTCTCTTTCAGATCTGGTTTCCTCGGTGTGTATGCCCAGAAGTGGGATTGCTGGGTCATATGGCAGTTCTATTTCCAGCTTTTTAAGAAATCTCCACACTGTTTTCCATAGTGGCTGTACTAATTTGCATTCCCACCAACAGTGTAAGAGGGTTCCCTTTTCTCCACACCCTCTCCAGCATTTATTGCTTGTAGACTTTTGGATAGCAGCCATCCTGACTGGTGTGTAATGGTACCTCATTGTGGTTTTGATTTGCATTTCTCTGATAATGAGTGATGTTGAGCATCTTTTCATGTGTTTTTTTGCCATCTGTATGTTTTCCTTGGAGAAATGTCTGTTCAGTTCTTTGGCCCATTTTTTGATTGGGTCATTTATTTTTCTGGAGTTGAGCTGGAGGAGTTGCTTGTATATTTTTGTAAATAAAGTTTTATTGGAACACAGCCACACTCATCTGTTTACATATTGTCTATGAAAGTGAAAGTGTCAGTCGCTCAGTTGTGTCCTGCAACCTCGTGGACTATAACCCACCAGGCTCCTTTGTCCATGGAATTCTCCAGGCAAGAAAACTGGAGTGGGCTGCCATTCCCTTCTCCAGGGTATTTCCCTACCCAGGGATCAAACTCGGGTCTCCTGCATTGCAGGCAGATTCGTTACCCTCTGAGCCACCAGGGAAGCCCCATATTATCTATAGTTCTTTTCATGTTACAATGATAGAAGCCTTATAGCCCATTTATCCTAAAATATCTGCTATCTCGCTTTTTACAGAAGAAGTTTGCTGACCCCTGTTATGGAGATAAGAACACTGGGACAGGAATCAGCTCATCCCAAATCTAATCATGCTGTTTCCAACAGGAACTGTTAGCTCTCCTAGTTCCTTAAGCCCTGAACAAGTGGGGCTAGACTGTACCCCAAATCACCTATAAACACAAGGCCCTTCTCTTCATTTCACAGTTGCTAATAAAGCACAATATACCATCAATACTGAGTTGACTCCTCATGCAGCTCCTCGCTTTCCAGATCAAAGCTGGCCAATATTGATTTCATATAATCCAACTTTAGAAGAAGGGTGTCTGCAGTCCAGCAGAAGAGGGTGAATAACTAGCTCTTTCTGGGGACGTCAGGGAGAGGGTGCGGAATGGCTGCATCTTGGAAGGCGTCACTCGATGGTGTCTGGAGAAGGGGCAGAAAAAGGATGAAGTCCAGAAAGTTCAGGTCGGAAACTCCAAAGCTGCCTTGCTTCACACTCTGGCTAATACCGGGTTTCATTACTTCTTGTAGTAGACAAAGTACATGAAAACTGCTCAAAAGAATATCATTACAAGAAGGCACTCTTGCCATGTGGTCTGTTAGTTGGCCCTCCGAGAGGAAGTTGTCTTTGTTAAAACCTGTGGTTTAGAAAGACAAGGAAACAAGCGTCGGGTCGAAAAAAATTACACGCGAACTGTTTCTTGCTAAAATTAAACTTGAAGTTTTATTTATGTACTGAGGTTAGTTAGGGAGGTAGCCACATTTCGTAAAGTCTTGATAAGTAGCAAAACACAGGCTTGGGTGAGAAGCTGGCTACCATGGGACACGAAGGGAACAAACGTGGTGGTGATGACTCCATCATGGGGTCCTGTCCCTGCATAATGGAACCTGCTGACGTTTCTGTCATAATCTATACACACCTTGACTCTGCAGCTCAACCAAAACATAAATTCTCCTGCCTTGTAACAAGCTTTTTTCAGCACCATGTTATATATAGCTCGAGAACTTCCTACTTCAAAAGCAAGTGAGGACAGTTTCCCTAGCAGCTACTGATGTTACCCCTGTCCTTCACTCTTGCCTCCACCGCGCCTCTCTGGGCAGCCTGGAGTTCCTAGGCCAGAGCCGGATCTCTGTCTTCCTAGGGGACACAGGGTCCTGTTCGTACGTGTGAGAAGGTCCCTGACCCAGCATCTCCGTTACAGGCATTCGGCCTCCCCGAAATTCTCTTCCATAAACTAAAATATTTTTATTCAAAGAGTAGTCTTTTATAAAAATCACATTCAGTCTTTTCAGGATAAAGATGGAGCATACATTACCAAGAAGAGCTATACTATAAAGGGGTGAAATCAGAGCATCTCCAAGACCCTGTCATGTGAAGAACCAGCAGGAGATGGTTCTCTCTGTTATCGCTCAGATTTTCTCCTGGCCTCCACACTGTTTTCAGGCAAGCAGCCTGTCTGTCCTTGGTTTGTGCCAGTGGTGGACCCTCTGGCTATTGGTGTGACCATTTGTGACCACGCACAGCTCAGAGGGAATCTCGTGGCCACCTTTCAGAAATTCTCTTCCCCAGAGCCTCCCAACGTAAAGGAAAAACTATATATATATATAT